CGCTTGACGATTACTCATTGAAGGTCACGTGCCACCTGCCGACCACCAGTTTACCCGAATGGCTCACAATCTTTGACYTCTTGTTTTCCTTTTCTAACTAAATWATTGTATTTCTAATTATGACTTCGACAAAGAAAATGGACTAAAAAAACGAGAACATTATAGARAAAGAAGATAGTTTTCTTAAAATGTCAAATTTGTTTGTCATCTTKCAAGGTATGTAAATAACCGATGTACTGTTGATTTGTTAAGTTGCTCCGTGTTTACCTTTGTTGCTWTTTTTTCTTTCAGGCTTTGTGTTTTTATCGATGTTCTCGTGTTTTAGCTGTAGTACAGTTAGAAGATTACGGGAGTGCGGAGAAGGGAAAGAGAAGGTTTGTCTGCGATTGTGTGATAGATGATGCGTCAAATCTGAGGCTTCACTAGAGTGCGCGTAATTGTCTAATTGTATTATTTTGTAAGACTATAATTGATACCAGTACAGCAGGAAAACAATGAGCAAAATCAATGCATGCTTTACATATCGCTACAATGCTTTCCCAGTGCAAACTAGAAAAATTAATTCAGCAAACTCCATTCCATCAAACATGGCTAATCATGCAATCAAGGGTCAAACAGTATTTTGACTGTTTTGTATTGTGCTCCTTGTTTGGCGTTGTATTATCCATTAAGGCAGCAAAATACGAGATACAAAAACCATAGCGCGAAAACATTGTTTCTGTTCAAGTTGATCATCGGTGTTTCTCGTTTTTCACGATGTATTTTTGTTGCATAACAAGTTGATGCATGAAAAACGAGAAACTTTGATACTCAACTTTAACAGAAACAATGTTGCGCGCCAAGTTGATGGTTTTTTTATATCTCGTATTTAGCTGCCTTTGCATCGTCAACTTGTCATGCAACAAAAATACATTGTTTCTCGTAACTACTCGTCTTAATTAGGTCAACTGCAAGCATATATTATACAGCTTGAAGCCTTTGCAAAAAGGTTTACTATATAATTGAACGTTCTTACGATTTGAAAACGTTATAGGCTTACATGCATGCGCCCTCTCTCGCTTTGTCTTTGATAACACGTTTCATGAGTGCTTGAAATTATTTTGTTTTAGTATGTCCCGAAAACAGCTCAAGATACAACTCAACGTTTAGCGGCACTTAGATTGCTAATGAGGAATGTAACGTTGACAGGGGGCATAAAAGCATACATCATCCCTTCATCAGATCCTCATCAGGTAAGAACAGTGTAACCACGCTGTTCGAGTACTCCACTTTCGAATTCAAAGCGAACAACCGCTGTTTTATTTGACAGAAGATTCTCTTACGCAAAGACACTACCAAACACAAAAGAAAAAAGAGAAAATGTTGTAAACACAATAGCGTTACTAATTTACATTTTCCCCGAGTTGAGGCTAACCCTGTATTCCCAGAAGGCTCATACCTTAGGTTTCATGGGAATACAGGGCTAGCCTCAACTCACCGAAAATGCAAATTTTCAAGTCTATTGTCTACGACATTTTCTCGTGCTCTCTTTTGTGTTTGGTCAGGTCTTTGCGCAAGAGAATCTGCAGCGGTTTTTCGCTATGAATTCGAAACTGGAGTATTCTCTTTTGCGCAAGCTTAGCTGCAGTCAAGCATAAATGCTTATAGAGTATTTCCATTTCAATAGGATCTCAATAGGATCTTCCGAACAAAACAATATATTACAGGTTTTTGAGGTACGAAGTCCGTTAGACCTTGTTCTCGATTCGAAATTCAAAATTTCGCCAGTCTATTGCTAATTTCATATCGTGAATTGTATTTGCATTGTGCAGCTATTCGCGTAGCAGTTTAGAGACAACGGCTGTAATAGAGTGGATTTCCGTCAACCATAATCATAATAAGTCTAATAGTTAGTAGTAGTTTGTAACGTTTAGTTAGTAATGCATGAGTCAATTCCAAAGGTGCCCATCCCCCCCCCCCCCCCCCCCCCCCCCGGGCAAACCCCGGGCATTTGACTCGACTTTACCTCCGTCATACAGTGGGGAATTTGACTCTGCTAGGAGCAGACGGGCGGGCATTTGACGAGTAGGCGACCATCTTGGAAATTATCGATTCAGATGCGAAACCGCTATTTCGTGACACAATACGAACTTTTAAGCTTAAGTTAAAAATAAAAATATCTCGGGAACCTAAGCATTTTAATAATAATAATACGTATTATTTATATAG